ACAGACATTTATTTCAGATTTTTAAATAAAACCTTCAATAGGATTCAAAATTTGAGCAACAGGGCCCTGGCAGAGAGAAAAAGCCATGGCCAATGCATCTTCTACTATATATATTTTTGGCTATGCTAATATGTAAAGCATATAATCATGTATGTACTTTGCTATTTATGCCTCAAATACAAATATATATGTATATTTGTACAATATACACATATGAAAGTAAAAATAGGACAATATTTTTCTTATAGAATTTTATTTCAGTTATGATAATGATTTTAATAATGATTTTATGCTATGTAAACATAATAAAGGTACGAAAAAATGAGGCAATACCCCTGCAAAAAAAAAAATGAAATACTATATAGAAGAGCTGATAAGCAATCAGTGGAAATTAAACAGTAGACAGAGCAGGTAAAAATACCAATTTGTGAGCATAAGACAGAGGCTTAAAATCTGAGATCACAGAGAAGAAACCAGAACTCATGAAAGATATGATTTAAGTTCACAAATTAGGAAATTAGCAAGGGAAAGATAGGAGTAATCATGGAAACAAAGTTTTAGAAAATAAACTCCCAGCTCAGTCACTGTAGATCAAAGTGGCATTTTGCTGGCAGAAGGACTTAAAGTATCAGGGCCAGGAGAGAACTAGTATGCTGCAGAATAGAAGGCAGGGTGAACAAGGCTGAAGGAGGTGACAGAAGGAAAAAAACAAGTTCCACTGTCATTGCCTCTTCTGTGCTAGGGGGCATTAGGGTTGACTCTTGAAAGACTTCTCAGAGCTGGAAGTGAGTAGAGGATGGGCCCAGGAGATGAAGGGTATAGCAGGGTAAGGAAAGCAATGTCCAGTCTATCCACATGTGCCAGCAATATTGCAGTCTGGTGCAAGCTTACAGTGTGTTATGAATATTATGTTCTATGGTTAAAAACATGTCTTGTAAATAAATTCTGCAAAGATTCTTTGTACAAACATATCCTTAAGTACATGTTCCAAAATGTGCTACTTAATGGCATGCTACACTCGAGGTAAAGGACAAACCTATTCAGTAATGGCATTGAATCAGAGGCTCTGTCATTGTACTCAGATTATATTAGGCAGCTAAATCTGGATGCTTGCATTTCCTCTCCAAATTGTCACTTTAGCAAAGCCCAGAATTAGACATGATGTAGGTTCAGCACTTGAGTCATTTATGATAACTCTTCCTCACAGTTTGCAAATGGTTTATTATACTCTTTCCTTAAAGATTCAAGAACTTTGGACAGGTTGCAAAAACTTATCAATTTCAGATTTATCATTTTGCCTATAAGGAAAATGAATGTAATAGAAAAGAAATAAACTGCTGAAGTAATGTAACTATTCAATAAAGGGGGCAGGGAACCAAGAAGACAGAGCTCTAGAGTTCGAGTCCTGCTCCATTTTTGCATGGATCTAAGTACAAGATAGAAAGTGATGAATAAATCCATAATTTTTACTTTAAACAAGGTTTAGACAAATATGTGCTTAAGACAGGAATGAGAAGCAGGGGACAGACAAGGAAGACACTGAATATTTTGTTTACTTTATAGAGCTTTCATCAGGCACCTAATTAATTTCCTTTGAACCAAGTGATTAACATGGAGACCCCTGCATTTCAAAGTATTTTCTGTGATTTGTTATTAAGGGCCTGTGGATAGATACTTTGATGCTACAGGATTGGTAAATTGTAAAAACTCTATAGATATATTTTATATTTACTTAAATTTATGTACCAGTGACAAATAATTTATTATTATGTTTTTAAAAGCCAGATGCATGAAAACAGTATATTCTTATGTAGTAAAATCTTATATCTCAGAAACTTGTATAAGTGAGTTGTCTGAGCAATACAAAATCTTTATAAAAACAAATTTACTTTGAGATTTTCAAATCTCATCAACATAAATTATTGTCTAACACTGGGACAAAACTCAAATTTTATTTGAAATACATTTATTCCACATGTCCAACAGGGCAACTTGCTAGGCGCTGTGACAACATAAACAAAGGGAAGCATAGTAAATTTCTGAATTTCTCTGAGAAACACTCTAAAGCTGATTGAGTAACTGGCTGAGATAGCAGCAGCATACTTGGGAGAGCAAGCAAAAATGTGTATTTTCAAAAAGTCACCTAAAGAAAATTTGGTCTTTACACACATGTACACTCCCCAACAGACACACATACAATGGAGTACTACTCTGCCATAAAGAATAATAAACTTAATTTGTTTGTGGGGAAATGGATGCATCTCAAGACCATAATATTCAATGAAGTAAATTAGGCACCAAGATTAAATATTGCATGGTTTCTTTTGTATGATAAATCCAAAATAGAAAAAGCAGAATAAAAGATAGCAGGAAATAGGGAATCTATCCTTTGTAAAAGGACAGAGAACCAAGCAATGAGGTGTGAGGGAAGGAAGGAAGAAGAAGGGGTGCTGAAACAACTGAGATGTGCTGTGTGCGTGCACAGACTCCTCATTACACACTGCAAAGTGTGGTGATAAAAAAGCAGCATTGAAAAAGGCCTTCTGACAATGGGTGGCACTTGGGATAAGTTCTAAAGAACAACCTCCTCAAGAAAGCAGAATCTTGGGAAGATTTGAAAAATCTTCAATCTTTAATTAATTTAATTAATCCTTGAATGATGATTAACCAATGACTTTTTTCCTATTTTGTATATAATTCCCTCACAATGAATTCTCAAACAGCCTATTCCAAATAATGCTCTGTGGTAGTTGTCTTTGGCTCTTGTGATCAAACATCATTGACCAGTTTAACCAGTCCCTTGTTACATCATCGTTTAAACACATACTATTTAAAAATAACCAGCACTGTGCTTTTCATCTTCACACCAGATAGATTTTAGCTAAAGGCCATGATGTCTTTAAATATTTTTACTTAATTTAAAGTTTTCTTTTTGCAAATCAATGGGGCTAAACTGTGGGAAAAAACTCCCTTGTCTCTCCTTGCCACAAAAATTTAAAGAAGAAATACTATTTAATACAAAAGGCTATAGAACAGTTGATAATTGACACACAGCAGTAACACCTACCTGCTGTATATTCACTCACTTTATTGTAAGGGTTTTGAATTTTTACAAGTTACATTTTATTGGGGCTCAACTGTGATATATTATTCAGGTGATATAACTCCCTAGTTTAGGAAACAGAAGCGATTCTTTTAGAGTATTTGAAAGCTTTCCTCTTTAAAATTATTTATTTGTCAGCAAGGGAGTTACATCTTTCTTTAGTAGTAACATGGAAAATGTAGAAGATGAAAATTCTCTCATTTCTTTGGCAGAAGAAATTATGATTACATTCCATTCTTTTTTAAATATGATTATGCCATCTTTTAGAAAAGCTTGTATTCTAAAAGAAAATGAGAAACACTCTGTAACCAAAAAGTATATTTTGTAGCTATAGTTTTTATTGACTTATTAAGGCACTATTTTCTTATGGTATGTTTTAGTTACTTTTCTCATTGTGGAGACAAAACACTCAACACCCGAAGTTAAAGGAGCAAAGATTTATTTAGCTCACAGTTTGTAGAGGTTTCAGTCAATATCTGGCTGGGTCCAAGTCAGGTTGGCATGGCAGACAGGCATGACAGAGGAAAAGCAGTTCATGGTGGGCAGAAGCCAAGAAGAAAGCAAAGTAGCAAAGTAGTGAGGAAGCAAGCAGCAAGCAGTCACAGCAGCCCTTATCCTGTCCCTCGTGATTTATCCAGGTAATATACTCTTCAGGTTGACAGCATTCACACAGGTAACATGCTCTTAGGGTAGACAGCCTTCCTATTATGCCAACCCAAGCAGTGGTCTAATTTAGTAACCACACACCCTTAATCCCAGCATCATATTCTTTAGATTCAGACAACTTTTTTAAAGCCCCATGACCAGATGAGGGTTTGGGGGAATCTAGGGACAAGTTTTACTTCAACACAGTTGAAGTAAAATCTGCACCATGTAAGCGTTTTCATAAGGTGCCAGGGGAAGCACAGTCATATATTTCTGGTGCACCATAAGGAATCAAACTTGCCCCATAGCATCATCCGCAAGAGTTTCACTTCTGCCTATATTTCTGCAAAACAAATAAGAAGAAAGAATTTTTAAAACCCAGAAATGACTTAACAATAAATAAAAGAACTTCCTATTTGCAAAATTTTACAAAGAGAATTAAACATATCAATCAAAACCAACAATCTCGTGGATATGTCTTTGATCCACAGTCTACTTATCAACCTGATATTGGAGTGATCGCTCTTCCTGTACTTGTTACTATCAGAAGGACAGAGGGCCAGGGATTTAGCTCAGTGGTTCGGTGGCCTGCCTTGCAAGCACAAGAACCCGAGTTCAATACCAGGTACCAAAAAAACAAAACAAAAAAAAAAAGAACGACAAAAGTTTAAACCATGCGTGATTTCTTGCCATGTGACAAGAGCTCAGAAACAAGATGTCTTGCCGAGGTTAATAGCTAGTTTACGGTCTCCAGGAAGGGTATTTCATGTAGGTTTTACAACCATGACATTCTCTATTAGCTCATCTGCTTGAAACATTATCAGAGACTAACTCTCAGAAGGAGCAATTCATTTCAGTCTGCTACACGGGCTTGGTACTGTCAGTGCAGAGGAAAGAAATGCAGGCATAATGGAAAGATAAAACAGAAATGCAATCAGAAGCAGCGTAAGGTGGGGTGAGGCCTGGAGTGTAGAACATTCAAGCTGAGAAGAAAAAAGGCAGAGTTCAAGCCATTCTCTCAGAGGAAACCTGGACAAAAAAAATCAAATGTGCTTTATAGCCACTTCTTGTATGCTAATGGGACCTCCACTGAACTTCAAAATTTATGTAAAAGTCGTTCAGAATCCCACATCCAAATCATGAGAAAAAGAAAACCTCTGCAAATTTTACGTGTAGCCCTGAGATTTAAGTTCAGGTGCCTACTAGAGTTGTTTCACTTTTATCCTGTATTTGTGATAGTTAATCTTGAGTATCTTTGATTTATTTGCTGCATAGTCTTTCAGTGATATGAGCAGTTGCATGAATGGGATAAAATAATGCTGGGCTATTGCAAAGGGAAGTAACTCCTTTATCTCTGCTGCATGGTGTTGATACTGTAAAATAAAAACTTTCAGTTAAAAATATGAGAAAATCAAAAAATGGAAATAAAGAGTTTGTAAATGGGGAGGGGAGGAGGGGGTGAAGGGAAAGCATGGATAAGGGAAAAAAATGAGAACCAAGACCTGTCATGTAGAGGTACAAGATCCCAATAATGAACCTAATTGCACTATATACCTAAAATGTACCAATAAACTCAATAAAAGAAAAAGAACTTACAGTTAAAGTAAACTAGAAATAAAGTGTGCTTCTGTATGTATCTGCATGGGTGGAGATGTGATCTTGGAAGTTGTCGTGGGTTTTATCCAGAGGTCCCCCCAAGGCCTCATGCACTCACTCATAGGTGGGGCTTTGGGGAGTGACTGCACCATGGGTGAGTGATACTCCATCAGGAGTATGTGATACTGGATTACTCCACTGATGTGTTTAGTCCAGTTCTGGATGTAGATGATAAACTTATTAAAGAGGGAAGACACCCCCAAGTCTATTGGCGCCAAACAATAGGCTTATGGTCGGTGGAGTAAAAAATGAGAGAAGAAGGAAGTTTTGCTGCCTCTCACCTGCCAGGCCTTGAGCTCTTTCCCCTCTGCCAGGCCACCTTGCCTTGGAGTCAGCCAAGTAACCCTGAAACTTCTACACACTGTGAGCTAAAGTAAATTTTCCTTTTTTAACTTGTGGGTTTCAGGTATTGTGTCTCAGTGACAATAAAGTAACTAAGATAGATGCTATATGCAGTCTTTGCGCCTTACTCCCTGGCATTCTCTCATTCTCTCTTCCCCCCTCTCTCTGTTATTCCCTCTACTCTCTCTCTCTCTCTCTCTCTCTCTCTCTCTCTCTCTCTCTCTCTCTCTCCTTCCAGCACAATCAAT